GGATATAATCTATACTGCCACTTGTAGCAAAAAAAAGGATGGTCAAACAAAAAAGATGCAAAATAGTAATGATTTAAACCTTTTTTTTCTTTTCATTTTGCAGATTTATTTCTCCAACTTGAGGTAAGCACACTTAAGGCCCTGTCACACTAATTTGTTTTAGAGTTATAAGCTTTCTTAATTTCATAAAACAAAATTCTCTGTACAATAAAATAGAAAATATAAATAAAATTAAATGAAAGGTGACAGAGAGAAGAAAAAATCTTATATTTGCCCCTTTTTTCTCAAATATAGATYCAAACTATAAGGATCTTCAGTTTTAAACAACTTAAGCCAAATTATGAGACATTTTTTATGTCTAAATTGCTAATAAAAGTTATATCTTCAGGGCTCTAGAGTGCAACTAATTTGGTTGCAAATGCGACCTGATTTTTTAACAGTGCACTGTATATAGACTGCAACTGAATGATTTAAAAGTGAAAAAGAAGGATTTAAAAACATAATGTGTCCTTTAAAGATGATCCTAATATGTGTTTTCAGATGAACATGAGCAAAAACAATGTCACCATAGGTGGGCAATAAAAAATGGGCAGTTTAACGTAGTGCTGGGCGGTATACTGTTTTGTACCGAATACCGGTTKTTATTTTTATTATGATATGAATTTTCTGAATACCGAACATACCGGTTTAAATAGCCTGAACACGTGCGGAACGTTTCTTCGCGGCCGCCAGTGAACTTTTGTTTCCCGGGGGATATTTTTCCTTGCACCGCTATGTGTGTTAGCATGCTAATGTTTGGAGCAGCTAGTTGCAGCCGCGGGTGGCGATTCCGCTGCTTATATTGACTGACGTTTAAAAAAACATCCCGTTTTCGCCATCGCTGAATGTAGTAAACACCCCTTCAGTGACGTGCAGTTAGATTTAACGTGGTTAGTTAATATGGAGACGTTATGCTGATGGAGACTTAACCTGGTTCGATTGTGAAAAGCCCACAGGAAGTAGTTTGTAGTGGAGTTGGAATTGACTGGTGTGCAAGGTGAGTCGTGCTGATAAGCTTTAATAAATAACATAAAACAATAAACCCGATCATAATCTTTTCTTAACCCTCCTCCTTCACGACTGGACCAAAATGCGTGACTACTGTCTCCAACCACCAGTCAGAGAAAAGACACACAGAGGAGGGAAACAGACACAGAGGTACAGAGGAAAAATGTTAGGTGCACTGGTGCAACCAGTGCAGAAAGTTAGTCTAGAGCCCTGATATTTGCAGACATTACAGTATGTACATGCCAAAAAGAGGCTTCCAGTTGATTTCTTTAAAATTCCATCTTCAATGTAGATGTCTTTAAAATTGGTCTGAAACATCATAGTGTGACGGGGCCTTTAACAAACCTGATCAGCATTTATTACTTCATGTTAAACACGTTTTATTATTACAAGGCAAACATAGTTTTACCACTTGTCATTTCTGCTTCTGTACCTTCTTCAGACAGACCAGGTGGAGAGGAACTACATTAAAGAGAAGAAGGCGGCGGTGAAGGAGTTTGACGATAAAAAGGTTGAGCTGAAGGAAAACCTAATCGCAGAACTGGAGGAAAAGAAAAAGATGATTGAGAACGAGAAGCTAACAATGGAGCTGACAGGCGGTGAGGGAACTGAAGCACATTTTACCTTTTTTCATTTTTAATCTCTATAAGTAGTCTTGTTTTCTCAAAAAGTTTGATTTTAATAAAGACAAAGTGAGTTAAAGCTTGTTTGAAGCACTTTTTTCAAATGTGCGATTTTGTATTTTGTTTTGTCGTTCACAGACTCAATGGAGGTAAAACCCATCATGACACGGAAGCTGAGAAGACGACCCAATGATCCAGTTCCAATCCCAGACAAGCGTAGAAAACCTGCACCAGATATCCTTCAGAAAACATCTGATTTCTGTTTGACTCTTCAGACATAAAGATTTTGTTTTCACCTCGTGTTAAAGCTTGAAATTCACCTTCCTTGATTCTTTATACCTCAGCTAAATTATTTGTTAACAGACGAGCAGATAATGGAAGATTTAAGAACATTAAATAAGGTTGGTGCAAAATCTTCCTGCTGAGACTTGTGTGTTTGTTTGGTTCATTTGTTCTTAATTATTTATTTATTTTTTACCCTTTTTTTTGCAGCTTAAATCGCCAAAACCACCAGGTATGTCAGAGCATCCATCACCCTAAAATATGGTAGAAACAGATTATGTATCCTGGTCTGAATGTAATAAAATCACATTTTCTTACCTTTTTATTTTTACAATGTTCTACCAAATCTGTCCTCTAGATTCCAGGTTTTGTGCAGGTGCTTTTAAGATTTAAATTTTTGATTTCTTTGTCTTTGTCTCTAATTTCACCTTTAAATGTCCAAAACTATCCCCACAAGTTTCCTGACGCATTTGTGTGTTTTTCCCCTCTTGCAGTGTCTCCCTCGTCTCCTGAACACATCCCCTCTGCTCCCATGGAGACCCCCTCCCAGCGGTACGAAGCCCGCATCGAGGAGGGGAAACTTTACTACGATAAAAGATGGTGCGTTTCCCCCGTGCTGCCTTTTCATCACTTGGTTCAGCTTTTTGTCACCACTAGATGGCGACATTGCCACGGGTAATAGGCTTTGCTCCTCAACAGACATTTCATTGTAACTTTGATAGCAGGCTGCGCTTCAAAAAAAAGATGCAGAATTCACTAAATATGCACTGGTGCTTGACGTAACTATTAGACTTCTACAGTCTGAGTAAAAAAACCAGGGCAGAATTCTGCTCTGAAGCCTGAGCAAAGATAATAAAAGTCCTTGACCATACAGCTCTGACGCCCTTCTGTTTTACAGCTGAGCTCTGCATCAGACACATTAAGTCCTTTCAAAGGAGACAATATAATAGATTTTCTCTTATTAGCTGCTGGTAGAGACAGAGAAAGTTGAAACAAGCACGTTAGGAGCTGGGATCGTTTTTTTCTCATTTATTCGTGGCTAAAGACGCCGACGTGGAAAAACCTCAGAGTCACAGACTCATGCATCATTATTCCGCTGTGTGCTTTTAATGATCATATACTTTCAGTGTGAGTCTCTTTGTCTTGATTTTCTATCCTTTTGACCGTTTAAAGCTTTTAAACAAAAATAACAGATTTCATGTTTTTGACTTTTAGTTCCTATTATCTTTTCATTACTGTCTCAGGAGGAATGTGGTTTGTTCAGTTGGGTGAAAGGATTTTTTTTTTCGCGAGAACCTGTGCTGTTTCATTTTTACTGATGTTTTTTTTATGGTGACAGGTACCACAAGAGTCAAGCCATCTACCTAGAGTCAAAAGACAACACAAAGATAAGCTGCGTCATCAGCTCTGTAGGGACCAATGAGGTGAGTTTTAGCTCTCATCAAACCTTTATCGCTGCATCCTTCCTGTCTGTTCTGGAGTCGGCTCATTTCTTTCTCAAACTACCTCTGTCGGCTCTTCTGAGAGGACCCCATGGTTTCCTCCCAGTCGGAGTTTCTGTCCACAAGTTACAAACTTTCTTTTTTAGCGTTCATCTTTATGAGCTCTTCTCTCTCCTGGATGCATAAACCTGGTCCTTCCTCTTGAGCTGTTGAGTCGTTGACATTGCTGTGATCTAATTTGGTTTTATGGACACTCTGCAGTGTAGCTCCTTTATTTAGACTGTAAACTTCAAGTGTGCTTTATCACCACGTCGGTGCAGTTATCTTCAGCTCTATTGTAATGCATTCTGTGGCGCTCCACAAAGTGTGGAGTCAGAGGGCTTCACTGTGTGTCTAAACAAGGCACTGAAGGAAATTATCTTTTGTAATGGAGGTTTCTTTTTAAAGTCCTGAAGTGATGTTTGAATTGAACTGTCATTACAATTAGACATGAAGACCATAGAGCAGGGGTGTCGAACTCATTTACACCGAGGCCCACATGAGTGTTACGGTGGCCCTCAAAGGGCCAGTTGTAATTAACTTTGTTTCCTGTTTAACTTCCACTAAGCAGTGTCACATCCTCTTACAAAATGTGAAATAAATATAACAGAAATAATATTAAAAGTAAAACTAAGACAGTTTTAACTAACTGAGTTTCTAATGAGTAGCTGCCATCTTGAATTCTGGACTCTTCGGCTGTGTCCAAAACGGTTCGCCGGGTCCTCCGAAGGCCGCATACGTCACAGCGCCGCGACGAAGGCCGTCCAAAACCGAAGACTCCTCCGATGTGTCCGACCTATGTGTCCTTCCTTTGGTCCGAATCGAAGGACTGGTCTGATGGATCCTTTCCGGCCCAGCATATCCCATAATGCATTGCGGGCTGACCTGAGATTTTTTTTATCATAGTAATGGCAGACGAAGCGAGAGAAAAGAATACATTTTAATTAAAAATATGGGGGTATGAAAAATTAAAATTTCAAGCGTTTGTTTTGTTAATGGTTTTGTCATTTGTAAAGGCGTGTTTTTAAATATTAATTTTTGTCAGAAAAAAATGAACTTGTGTAACGAAATAAACATGCACCTATGGTCCATTAGCTCTTCAAATATTAACTTAGTTAATTTAATTGTTTTGTGATATTAATAATGCAAATATGTTGATATCTTTCTAATTTCGATCTAATTTTGCTTCTGTTTAGCGTCGTCACAGTTGTTAGGGGACATGACGTATGCAGGGGTAAGGACGGGAGGCTAGACCGTCCAAATTCACAGACACTTTTTTCCGGTCTTCACGGTCTACCAAGGACCTGGCCCACCTCGACCCGGTAGGCTGGGTCCTTCGGAGGACCCGGCCTTCCGTTTTGGACACAGCCTTCCAATTTCCTACAGGGAATTCCCATGTATGGTCGATAAGCATTATGGGAGATGTAGTTTATGGTCGATACTGGCTTTGAAGGAGCTTATTTTAAGACAATAATACTTTGCTATTCAACTAAACTTCTCATTTAATTAGAGCCAACAGCTCAGGAGCAGGACAATTAATATCTTCCTCCTTTTAAATGTGTTTATTTTGTTGCATTTAATCATACAGTATATTTAAAGTTTACCATTGATATAATAAACAATTTTCATATTAAGTGAAAAAAATAAAATTAAATTGTAGGGAGTGCCTCTCCTGGCGAGCCAGACGGGAGCCACCTGTGGGCTGCATTTGGCCCACGGGCCTTTAGTTTGAGACGTGCTGTAGTGCATTTACGAGGTTTTTAAAAATCTATAACATCAACAGCAGAAAGTGCTTTTTCTAATGCAGTTTTTTGTTTTGTTGTTCAAATCTAGATTTGGGTGAGGAAAACCAGCGACAGTACAAAGATGAGGATCTACCTGGGGCAGCTGCAGAGGGGAACATTCGTCATCCGTCGACGGTCGGCTGCGTGAAACATTCTCACTTCTCCCCATCCAGTCCCATCTGTTCGTCCATCCTTCCATCTTTTTGCTCGTTAGTTCCCCGTGTTGATTCTTGTTTGTGTTCACCGGTCGGCCTTTTACTGGAATCCTAACACACTACCCCCACACTGCACTGTTAAACATGCTTAAAGCACGAGTGATTCTGTACACAGCAGACTGGTTTCAGTATTATTTCTCACTTTTGTTTGTTGAACTGGTTATCACTGCTGTCATCACAAGGTTTTTATTTTTATTTTTTATAAAAAACAGTTTTATTTAAAGTTTTTATCATCAGCCTTTTGTTCACACAAAAATTCTCATACGATGCTTCGCAGAGGAAGCTGTGAAAAACAGCAGGAACTGTCAGATGTTGAACCAGCTGTCATAAATCAACCACTTGAAGTTATTTTTACATGTTTTTCAGAATATATCTTTTACACTTAAGAAATGGAGGCTTGTTCTGTGGATGTTTGAAGGCTGTTTATTAAAACTAATGTCTTGTTTGGAAAAAAAAGAATCTAAAATTTACTTTTTTCTTGACTTTTTTATGTTATATTCTCCATATGTATATGAGTTCAAGTGTATTTGGAACTGGAACAATGTTTGTTTCATTTTATTAAAATATTTCAGCTTTTTTTAAATTAAGAAATTCTCCTGATTAATGACTCTACGTTACGTTTACTGAAAAATGTTTGTCCACAACCAAAAGCCTCTTCTTTTAAATCCATGTGAAGAAAGCATATCTGCTGCTGCTTTGCATGGCAGGTTGAGATCTGTTAGTACTCAGATTATGTGTTGTCTATGACTCTCAACTACTACCACATTGAATTTGAGGTCAACATCTATAAATGTGACTTATTTTAAGCATTTTTGTGTTTGCTGAGGTTGATTCACTGTGGTGGCCAAATTGAGTGTGACTTCAAACATTAATCACTTGTAGATGTTCAATGATTATTTTCTAAGATTTGCACAAGATACTGTATTCTATGAAAGAAGATTAGGGCCACTGAAAATATTCTGAAATTAATCTCAAGATTGAGGGAAAAAAATCTGAATTCTGACCTTTATTCTGAGATTTAAGTCAAAATCCTAACTTATTATTCTGTGATTAAATTCAGAATTCTGATTTATGAGATTAAGGTCAGAATTCTGACTTTTTATTCTGAGATTAAAGTCAGAAATCTGATTTAATTTAAATCGAAATTCTAACATTCTGAGATTAAGGTCAGAATTCAGATGTTTTTATTCTGAGATTTAATTCAAAATTCTAATTTACCCTGAGATTAAAGTCAGAATTCTGCTTTGAGATTGGGTCAGATTTCTGACTTTTATTCTGAGATTAGGGTCAGAATTCTGATTTTTTTATTTGAAAAAAAAAACCTCAATTGACTTGTCTAATTCAGGAAAAAAATATTTTTTAATTATTTTTTTCTGTGGCCCTAATCCTGTTTCGTAGTGTTCTGCTGAAAGACAGGTCACACATAAAGGACTCTATGGCAGGACTATTCAACTAAATTGCTCCGGGAGCCACAGTTACTGCAGGTCAACAGCTCAGGGGCCCAGCCAAAGTCATTATGTAAATAAACCAAGTATTTTAAATGTATGTTACCTTTGAAATGGTTTATTTTGCTGCATTTAATCATGAAAATGACCCCTATTAATAAAAGTAGTGATGATAAAATAAAAAAAACAAAACATTCTACCTCCTGTTTAACAAATATTATTTTGACATATCTGATTTTTCTAAAATTTTAAACCATTTTTTCTTTCACTTCCATAGTTTTATCTTCAGCTGCTTGTAGTTTTAACTGTCTTGGATGTTCATAGAATTGTTTTTTACCAGCTTGTAGCCAAGATTCTGACGTTTCTGCAGATACCAAACATGTTTGTGTTTAGCTAAAAGAACTTAGAGTAATTAAAGTTGAAAACCGGGGGTTTGGGCTTAGGAAAGGCATGAACCAAATGGTGGGCCGAACTTTGGTCACTCGCGGGTCGGATGTGGCCCGCAGGCTGCCAGTTGAATAGCCCTGCTCTATGGCAAGATGGGACATCACCCTCTGATGGTGCTCCTCATTTTTAAACGAGGATACTTTCGTGACGATTCTTTCGTTCAGTTTCCTCTCAAAGGCTGCATAGACCTCAACTGGATTCTGAAAGACAGCAAAGTTGACCTCAGGTTCAAATGCCACCATCAGGAGAGCACTACCAAAACCTTCACTGTTACTTTGTTCACTGTTAAACAGGTTTCACTTGAAAACTTGCTTGAAACTGAACTAAATGGAAATGTTGGTCTAAATAAGCTGAAAGTCTTATTTACCCATGAAATCAGAATAATCTGTACATGTCTATTTAAAACAACCTCCCTATAGACACTGGGGGTCCTTGGAGAACATATGGGCTCAACGTCTTAAAACAGCATCTTAAATTATTGAAGCACTGATGATAAGTGTTTGAATTGCTGTTTATTTTTGAAGCTCAGAATCCTGAAAGGATATTTTCCCCACGTCATGTCGACGTGTCGGTGTCTGTAATCAACGTGACCGAGTCGCCTCACAGCTTCGGTCCAGGCACACAGCCTCCCTCTCAGCCGTCCCCGCTCTTCTGTAAACAGCAGGAATATTTGGCATTCAGCACAGGTCGTCAGCCACCGAGCAGTCTGCCATCTCCCTCTTGTGTGTCCTTTCGTTTTAACCGGATGGCATGTTTCACTTTTCCTGACTTAATGACACTGCTCGGCAAGGAGGGCAATTATTTCCTCCGCTCCACAAACGCAAGGCTCGTATGAAAAAGCTCGCTGTCTCGATGCCGGGAGGGTGTGATTGCTCAGCCTCTTGTGATGACACGAAATGAGCTGATAGTCAATGTGATGCCTGTCTGCTTCCTTTATTGCATCACATGTCTTAAGATCACTTTAATATACACTGACACGATGTCAGTTCTGCAGGGTTTGGATGTCTTTTGTTTTTAGGCATTTCATTCTGAGGATTTCACCTGACTCGACGTGAGCAGCCAGGGCAAAGTGGGTATCCACTGTTTGTACTCACCTGCCACATATTATTCATGCAAAATGTAATATAATGCAAAGACAACTTTTGGGTTCGTTGGAAATTTCAGAGGGACAGGACAATTTGGTTGCTTTTTTTTAGGTTAATCCGTAAATTTTAGTGACTATAAAAACATCTACATCTAACATACTTTAAAGATAAGGTAGGTTAGTTTAAACTTGGAACAAGTTTGGAACCAACCAGATCCTTACAATCGGCTACCATGGTGAATCTGAGCAACTGGGGTGGAAGTACCTGCAAAAACTCTGTCGCTCTAGCAGAAGTCCTGCATCAGTCTGTGGAGAGGAGACTGACTTTCCAGAAGGGTAACCATTTCTGCAGAGCTCTACCATACAAGTCTGTCTGGTGCTGTAAAAATAAGTTGAGCTGAATTAATTGAATGAATAAAAAAGGCTGGAAAGCAGAAGGACTGAAGAAGGCTCAAACTCAACATGCACATTATTTAAGCCAAACGTATTCATCCTTATAACCGGGGACGGCCTTTGGCGTAGGCAGTATAGGCAAATGCTAAGAGTGCCGTCCAAATAGGTGGCACCACAAATAAGGGACCAAAAATATGTTTATTATAATTTTATTAGAGTTTATCTGTAGAATAATCACTGGTTACGGAAGTTTATGAAGGTAACGTTCTATGGGTTTCTACTAGGGCTGTCAAATTATTAATTTTTTTAAATTTATTAATTCCAAGGTAGCTGTGAATTAATCACGATTAATCTTAAACTTAATATAAAACTTTAAATTTTTATATATTATTTATTTATTAAATAAAACAAAATAAGCCATAAGAAGACAAAAAGAAAAAAAAACTGTACATAATATGTTACACGTGGAGTTTTTTTTAATATCATTTAACCTTTATT